GAATGCTCGCCAACCACGTAGGTGGTTTGAGGTTCGATCCCTAACCGATGCACTCTTTACCTCGCTTAGCCAATAATAAGACTGGTAAAGAGGAAAGGTTGGGCATGAGGCTAGCAACTCCATCCCGTAAAAATAAATACCACTGCTACCGAGACTTCAAAGCTCTATCTTGAAGCCCCATGTCCCACTGGGAATGTAAAGGAATTAAATAAATAGACAACTCTTAAACTACTTTCAGTCTTTTATTGTGGAAGTCAATGATTACCCTTGCACTGATTTCACTCCGTTGAACATTTTTACCTCAGTAAGACTAAATAACTTTAGTTCTAAGAAGTACTGTAGATTGGCAACTGAAGCATTATATTTTCATAAAGTATTTTGCAAATCTGCAAAATTTTATTATGCAAATGAAGCAATAATTAACTAATTATTTTATAAAATTATCATTTATGCAAGGGTGGAATTATTATTATTTATTATTATTAGTGTTCCCTTGGGTTCCTAGTGGAACATAGGGCTTCAACTGCACGTCTCCAATTGCTTCTGTCTTCTGCTGTACTTTTCACCTGCGTCCATATTAGTCCAGACTGTTTCAGCTCCTCTTCACACGATCTCCTCCATGTCACCCTTGGACGTCCCACTCGCCACTTCCCTTTCGGGTTCCACTCGAGCACTGGCCTGACGCGCGATGTCACCCAGTGGCCTCCTCAGAGAGTGTCCAATCCATCTCCACTTCCTCCTGCATATTTGTTGGGCGATTGATTCTTGTTTTGTTCGTTCCCATAGTTTCTTGTTGGTGATACTTTCCGGCCATCTAATCTTCAGTATAGAACGAAGACAGTTGTTGATAAAAGTTTGCAACCTGTTGGAAATATTCTTGGTGACCCGCCAAGTTTCTGATCCGTAAAGCAAAATTGACTTCACGTTTGTATTGAAAATCCGAATTTTGTTGTTGATGCAGGCTGAGTGACGAAGATTTCCAGATTGGTTTCAGGTTGATGACTGTGTTTCTCGCCTTCCCGATTCTCGATTTGACATCCTCGTCCGTTGCTCCTGTAGTTGATACAATCCTCCCTAAATAAGTGAATGAAGTAACCTCTTTCAAATCACTCCCGTTGATGGTGATAGGCGCTGGATGTTATTGCTGCTGTTGTTGTTGGTTGGTTGGTTATTTTCATAACCTTCGTCTTGTCTATGTTCACCTGGAGTCCTGTCTTTGCTGCTTCTTCGACCAGTTTGTCGGTTTTCGCTTGTAAGTCTTCGATTTTGTGTGACATCAAACATAAATTATCCACGCGCGAAATCCAGGTCTTCTAGGTTCTTCACGTCGGTCCAGGATATCCCTGTCTTCTCGTTTCCTGCTGTCTGACGCATAATCCAGTCCGTCCACCACAATTAGGAATATCATTGGTGATAATAAGCACCCTTGTCTGACTCCTTTGTTTACTCCAAACGCTTTGCTGAGTTTTCCATTGTGGATCACTTGACATGTGCCGTTGTCATACAGCTGTTGAATAAGGTTGATGAATATTTGGGGTACGCCGTAGTACTCGAGTAGTTTCCAAATTACTTCGCGGTCAAGGCTGTCGAAGGCCTTCTCAAAGTCTATAAACTTGAGGGTGGAATACATGGGGAGAATTGAGAATAATACTTTTTAAACATTAAACCAATATGTCGGCTTTTCGATAGCAAAATGCTCGCCAATGTACGAAGTCCGGGTTGACTTCCTGATTGACCAGCGCACTACTCAATCCCGTTTATTTTACTGGCTGATAGTTAGCCCAGAAAAGAGGGAATATTGGGTGTGAGCCTGATAAATCTCATCTTGTAAAAACAAAAAACACCGCTACTGAAACTTTAAAAGCTCGAAGATCTGAATAAAAATTCAGAATGCAAGCAGCGAAAACGAACAGTCATCAAACCTTTCACTAAAAATTGCAACATATTGCATGGAAAGTTACTACACATACCATCCAATAACCAGTTAGTGATGACGTGTATTTATTTCCTTAGAAGTAATGATATTACATGGTCCCCTAAACCTAAATAAGTGGATTAGGGTACGAACCTGTGACTAAATAGATGGAAGTCGAGCACTAACAACGAGCCAAACCAAAACTGAAACTCCATGGTACTACACAAAGGCATCATCGATCTTAAACAACATTATTTATAAATATTATCAATTTATTTACGTCTATTATCACAGTAACTAAAACTTACTCATATCTACTTAATATACTCATAGCATAGAATTTAACTGACAGAAAATAGAGGGTTATTGATTTTACGTTCCATGTTAAATGAAACAAAACTTCCACTAATAACAACTAGATGGCAATACGTTCAACCAAGGAGAAGACTCTAGAAGATCTGGATTTCGCAGATGATTTATGTTTAATGTCATACAGGCCCGAAGACTTACAGGCGAAAACCAACAAACAACTGGCTGAAGAGGCATCTAGCAAATACAGCACTTCAAGTGAGCCTAAAGAGGATGGACAACAACCAGCACCAATTACCATCAACGGGAGAAATTTGAGAGAATTTACTTCCTTCACTTATCCAGGAAGCATTGTTTCAACCATAGGCAGATAGCACCGATGAGGATGTCAAAACTAGAATCAGAAAGGCGAGACAGAGCGTTATCAACAGGAAATCTTCTGCACTCAGCAAAAACAACAAAGTTCGGATTTCTAACACCAGTGTTAAGTCAGTTCTTCTATATGGGTCAGAAACTTAGCGGGCGTTACCAAAAGTACTTCCGACAGATTGATATAAGTATAAAACTTGGGCACTGTGATAGAGTATAACTCCACTATGGATAAAGTTTTATTTCGATAAAATCACACAGTGTTGTACAGTAATATTTACTGATGACGTCTCGAGCACAAATTATTGCTCATAATCATATCCATTTGATTATATGATTTTATCAAAATAAAATTTTATCCATAATGGAGATTGCTGCAGACTTTTATAAACAGCTGCCTCGACTGACCCCATATTGAAGTTCAAACAACACGCCAGAACAACTGTAACATCAACAGAAAACTCTGGTAACAAACCAAACAAGAACCTATTGATCAACAAATGCGTATAAGAAAATGGACACTCGCTGATGAGACCGTTGAGTGACATCGCGTGCCAGGCCATCACTCAAGTGGAACCCGAATGGGAAACGGCAAGTGCAGCGTCCGAGGGTGATATGAAGGAGGAGATGAGAGACTTTGGGCAAACGTGAATCCAGCTTAAGAGGATCGCAGAAAATAGGACAAAATGGAGATGGGCTGTTGAAGTTCTATGTTCCGCTCGGAGCGGAAGGGAACAGTAGATAATAATAACAACTATTTTATACCATTCAGCCACTGGGACCCGATTCAATGGCTCATGAATTCTAACTTCTACCAATTCGTGATTTAGCGCGACCCCAACCATTGTCGTTGGTGGGATATCCATCCACACATGTGACATCTAATTGAACCACGAATTGTTTGAAATCCCTTAATGAAAAATAAAACAAGCAGCCTAGCAAAATTGCTATTTTCGGCGAATTCACTTTCCTCTTTAACTGTACAGCCGTATTAATATATAATTTTTTCACAAAAGCGGATAGTAGCAAGAGTGATGAGTTGTCATAATCATAGTTAACGTTGATCAATACATAAGATGAGTTGAATAAGGGTATTAGAGTTAGGTAATAACATGAATAATTTAGTGTGAATGAGTTCTAGTCAGGATACACATAGAAAGGAGGGGGAATGTGATATCACATAAGGGTTCGAAAGAAATACAAGAGTTATAAAGAGTTTGAAAAAAAACGAAACACCAGGCTGGAAGAAAACAATAAGATAGTTACCATGATAACAGAAGTAGCTGAATAACTCTCTCTCTTTTGTATGCAGAGCTCCAATTTCCCCATCTGAATGGCTAGAACTTCAGCGATGCAGAGGAGATGAAAGTGTACTGTTTTTGGAAGGTTGTTCTTTACTTTGTTCGATAAGCTGTTCACTTGTCGCACTCACTTACCTGAAATAAATCCTTCATGTACCAGGCTATGAAGCACACTTATCGTGTGAAGGCTGATGATGCTACCCAGACTGAAGTAGTTTTGGAGAGGAGTTTTAACCTGTGATCCATCGGATGAAAATCAAGTCCTTAAGCTAATACAGCGCATATCTACTACCAAGGGTTACCCTAATATCCTAGGCTAAATTAATCTGTAATGCAGGGAAGAATGGGTAGGCTAATTAAGACATGGTAATAATCCTTGAAGTTATTCGGTATTCGTTGGCACCAAGCAGAGAATGATTGATTGAATTGACTACACACGCGAGAACCAAAACTGATGATTAAAGACTAGATGAAATGACTCAGAACAAATCGACACAACAAATGCAGACATCCTTTGTCTTCCATTTATTTTTTTTCTTAATGACTTTTCATATTTTAAGGACTTTGATACTATTCTTTACATTTTTATTATTCCTCTATTGCTTAATTAACTCAAAGTCCAACTGAGTTGCTGAGTGCAGATCTTCCATGAATCATGTAGGCTATTACACCCCACACTTATTGTATGAGGCCTCATGATACTATCTGATCTCCTAGGCTGAAATAGATCAGGTGGGATTTGAACTAGGGACCCACTAACTGATGAAGAGTATCCCTACATGCCTTTATAGAATGATGTAACAGAGCTAGTTGGATCGTTATTTAACAATTGTAAATTTACCTTTAATAATACCAGCCTGTCTTATACACTCTAAGTATCTTTGATCAATATTTTCTTTCAATATCGTTTTAACCTTTGAATAACTAAAAAAACAACATAATCACAACAGATAACTCGTATTTTGAGAAAATAATAATTTATACTGGAAGTGTACAATAAAAGATAAGAGTGTATCATTTATACAGAATTTTATGAAATAAGAATACACAATATATAAGTAACTTTTTCTAGATACTATAATTGTTTGTTTGTTTTTGCTATCACACTATTCAGGAGGGATATAGTCAACTGCTTTTTTAGATGCTTTCGGTAGGCCTATCATTTCACTATCATAGTACACATTAAATCGATCACGTCCACGTTCTTCATAAACATGGGTTCCATCTGGTTCAATTCGTATAGGTAATAAACCTAAGTAAAATTATAAAAAGGGATAAATTAATTGTTCGGAATATATAATAATTATTTATTTATTTATTATTATTCCTTTGGGTTCCGGTTGGAACATAGGACTTTAACAACACATTGCCATTTCTGTCTGTTCTCTGATCCTTTTTAGTTGGCTCCATGATCACCCGTAGGTTGTCATTTCCCTCTCAAACAATATCAGACCGACGCCCAGCTCGTTGTCTCCCCTTCGGGTCCTACCCGAGGGCCTGGCATGTGGTATCACTGAAATGTACTCTCAGAGTATGTCTAATTCATTTCCATTTTCTTCTACACATTTGTTGGGCGATATGTTCTGGGCTATTCAACACAGATTCGTCAAGTATTTAATTTAACTAGTTGATACCATTTCTACTTCATACGCTTCATGTTGGCTACCAGTGAAATTCAAGATGTGCACTTATTCCTATTCACGATTCTTCAACTGGATGTATCTACACCATAAGTGAATAATAGTGTCCCCACTGACACTTGAAACCATTACCCATCATTTCAAACTACAAATCGTTACCCACTAGGCAAAGAGAGCTACCACCTCTATTGCAACATGTATCAGTCATTATTTGGACTAAAATATTTTGTCTCAGTTGACATTCCAGCTTCCAGTGCACGGAAGGTTAAGCGATGCCTTAGAGATCAACATGATGCCATTTAGACCAAATAAAACGAATTAACAAGAAATTCAAAATAATAATTTTTAAAAAATACCAGTATTCATTAAGAAACAATAACTTTCAGTTATTCTGAACAGAAGTCATGACCAGTAGGGTGCAGCAGGTCGGGTGTGAGGACAAATACTCGCCGAAGACATTGGCTAGGGGTCACGCTATGTCGTGAATTGGCAGAAGTTAGAATTCATGGGTCATTGGATCGGGTCCCAGTGGCTTAATGGTATACGAGCTCACCTTGTAACCAGGTACTGGGTTCGAATCCCGGTGGGTGCGTACTGAGGAAGAGTCCCAAACTAGGACGAAACAGCTGCCCAGTACTCCCAGGTTTTCCAACGGTTCTCTAACTAATGTCAGCTCCTGTAACCAATCAAATCCCTACAAACCAACACTAGAATTAATTTTATCTAGGAATGAAAGGTAACTCAGAGTTTGGTGCAAAATTTGAAAATGACATTTCTTAGTAGCCATTGTATGCTTTAGATGTACCTGTAGGTCTAACTGTAATAGCCTTAGAAATCACATGGGTTGTTCGCTTGTACTATCATTCTTATTATTATCAATTAACTGATGAATTGACTTTCTGTTTGCGTTCTATTCTTTATCAATAGATAGATGTGACCCACTGGCATAAGCACTCGACTTACCGCCGATGGGTGGTCACAGGTTTGAATCTCGTTCCACTTACTTTTGACTGAGCTACTGGGTAACACCGTCAGTCCTGAAATAACAAAGCTTGTGGCTCATAGCCTGGTACATGAAAAATCTGTCTCCGGTAACTGACTTCTGACAACACTATAAGCTTCTTATTTTTCCATTCTACTTGCCATCTAGTTTACACCATCTAATAAAAAGTGGTTAAATAGTGTGTGTTGGGACGTTGTGAAGCTACGTAGATTGAGGTGGCTAGGACACATGCTGTGCATACCAGGCCATCGCATTTCTAAGTTGGAAAAGAGTGAGGAGTGGTCAAACCAAAGCCTGGCACCAAGTAGAGAGATGTGGACTGCCTGGTTAGAATTCTCGAAATACCAAGAACACCTCAAACGATTGGTGATACTGGCTCAAAACCGTTCCCAATGCCGTAAATGCATCCATTGCTTGTAATCTCCAAGACCCATTAAATCCTCATGTTTTTCCCATGTTATTCTCCCTCCCGTATATCTCTGTTCATTAAAGTTTGTTTTGAACTTCGTTTTTTTCTTTTCTCTACCTCTATGTAGAGTGTAGCAACTTGAACTAGCGCAATTTTGTGCAAAGTTTTCTCTGTTGAAATTCAGTTTCTCAACCAGTGTTGGCAGAGGTTAGAAAATGTGAATTACATTGAAGGAACCAATCATCATTCACTGATTAAATATTCTTAAAAATCCTATACTGCACATAATAAATAGATCTGTCACGTTATATTGGTTACAACTTTATTGCCAGTATAAAAACACGAAGTACTAAGTGTTATTTATAGAATTTTTAACTATATTGAGATATTAGTACCACTTTCTTACTGAATGTCATATAATAACTGTGGTTTAAGAGACGTACGTTAAACCAGTTGACCGGCGTCAGTTAAGTTATAAGGACATAGTGATCTAGCTAGAATGACAGACCCCACTAAGATAAGTAATGTAGAAAAAAATCTTTAACCGTTTCTTTGCAGTTATAAGACTACAAACACACAACAGTGTGGGACAAGACGAAAGTATTAGAAAATAATACCAGTCGGAGAGGTAGGGAGAGGTTAGCCACTCAATCTTTGTAACAGAAGTAACAAAACAATCTGGAAAATACTGAGACAAGTAGTGCGAACCAAGTTAAGAAGTCAGATGAATACCCTGATATGACTAGGAGCAATAAATTATGCTTGGAAAGTTATAATAATAACAACAATTATCCAGCAAATTCTCTAACATAGAATTACACTCTGTCGTAGCAACCAAATTCTACCCTTACATTTTTGACAATGTGATAGTCGATGTGTTTCTCATAAAACTGAAAAATGAGTGTATGTAAAAGCACAATAGTTAACCAGTCAGTTAGCTATAGAACACTCTATTGAACTCGTTGATTTTAATGCTTCACAACTATTCCAGAAGACGGATTGAATAATGATAATAATAAATTAAGAAATGAATTTGTCAATTAAATACAAGAGGAGAGTAATAAATGAAGCAGGACATGAGCTCAAAGGAGACACAACCACCGAATTACTGGCATCGAAAATCGAAAAAAATAGTAGCTAAAACTTTTTTTGCCGCAACACCATGTTTACAGTTCACCATTCATTGTATAATTCAAATGCATGTGAAGGATAAGCTACCGAGTCTGGCCACTTCAATGTGCATTTATAAATTTAACTGCTCTTGTGGAGAAAGGTAGAACGACTCGACCAGCCTACCGTCACCTTCTTGAGCAATGTCCAAAGTTGATAGGCAAAGGATCTATAAAGTTTCAATGTCGGCACACCTTGTGAATACGGATCACAAGACTGATGAAAAAATTCCGCCTTTACAATTCTATACAAAATGCCACACTTCAATTCCCTAAGCTTGTAGGCCTTCGATTGCTAAGCATAGCTGAGGCAGTCACCGTAAAAAATTTTCAGCCTAATCTTTGTGCTCAGAAAAAGATTTTTCAATCCCTCTGCTTCTCATGGCCTTCAACCCCTATGTAGAATATTTATCCCGGTGACAGCGGATAATTGTAAATATTATTTTTATTTGTACTGCTAACTTTATCGTCGATATTAAACTGTGCAATAGGTGCATATTTTATTCTTAGTTTCAAAATTTATTATTATTTTTATTGTACCCTCATTGTCTTTAATTATATGTGATTCTATTGATCCACATTGTTTCAAATATCGGTGACGGATATTTTGTCATGTAATTGTAAAGCTAGGTGGGAATTTACCGAAAATACGTATTCGCTTGCTTAAGACTTGTTTTGGAATTTCCTTAGTGGAAATATTTAAATTACAAAGGTTTAGGCATACTTTTATTACACTGACAACGAGTTATTGTTAGGAACTATAAGTAAAATAAGCCTAGAATGAAGTAAGTAGTTAAATTATCAGAAGTTAAAAGGATTGACCATCATACTAATGCACTCCCTAGGTAAACTGTATTTCTGTCTACATTTTTTTTCTCAAGAATTTTATTATTATTATTATTTATTATTTAAACGCAGAAAAACTTGGTACAATATGGCACCAAGAAAGATGTGCCACACAATAATAATAAAACAACATAGATTAAAAGTAAAAATATAGGTAGAAAACGGATAAAGAATATCATCGATAGCTGCACATGCATGGGACAAAAACCACAATATCGATTGGGACAATGTGTGTATTCTAAAAACTAACATGAACAAATGGAAAGAAAGACTTATAACAGAATCGATATTCATTAAAGTCACACCGGATACATGTAACAATGGTGACTCAGTACAACTATCGACAACTTGGAATATAATTCTGGATACAAAAACATGAATGAACTTGGAATACAACTCAAATACGAAAAAAAAATATGAATGAGCAAAAATAATGAACTATATATACGAGCACAAATCATAAATATGTGAATCAAACAATTCCAAAACTGGTGTGAACACGGGCAGTAATTTTGCTCGAAATATTACCAATAACAAAACTTATCATTGTGTGTAAACTATTAAAATATAATTATACTTTATTAACGGATAAAGAACTTCATCAGGAAGGAAAACAGTCATGTTTAACAAGTTCAAACAGTATTCGTTAACTATCATCAGGAAGGGAAGAAAGAAGGAAATCGCAACACATTCGCCATTGATTACGATTCTTGGCCATATCCGATAACGTTTCGAGCCATCGATTTGAGCTATCTCGCGGACCCCAACCAGGGAGTCGTGACACACCAACCGATGCTAATCTAGCACAAATATCCTTCATCCCACGACGCCACATCATGGACTGACCACCCCTCCGCCTTTTCCATCCCCTCCCAGGGCTAGCGAACAGAGACCTGTACGGAAGCCTCTGGGATGACATTCGCAGCACATGTCCAAGCCACCGGAGCCGGTGTTTCTAGATGACGACACTCAATGAATGGTGATCTCCCCTGTGTTCAAACACACGCCGCCGAACCTCAGAATTACTCATGCGACGATGCCATCGAACGCAAGCAATCCTGCGGAGACAGCGATGATCGAACACGCAGAGTCGCCGCACATCCTCAGCTCGGAGAGGCCAGGTTTCACAGGCGTAGAGCAAGGCAGCCCGCACCGAAGCATTGTATACCCGACCTTTGACAGCCAGGCTGACGTCGCGACGGCGCCAAGAATATTCGCCTAATTATACTATTAAAAGACAACACATTTAACACTTGGTAATTTAACTACGTACGTTATTCTGTACCTATGTTACTTATATTTTCTTCCCAAAACTTGTTAGCTGACACAGAATTCGGGTGGGGAAGAGTTAGGAGTGATCCATGAAGTTGTCGACTGTCAGTTTGATCTAGGTAAGGCGTAGACTGCTTGGTTAGGGTCAACGAGAAGCTAAGAACAAATGGCTTGAGACTTTTAGTGATATGGCTTAAAACTGTTCCCATTGGTGAAGATGCACTCACTCTTTGTAATCTCCAATATCGATTAAGTCCTTGTTTCCCCATGTAGCCATTCTTCCTCCCGTCTTTCCTGGTCATTATAGTTCTTTGATTTTTCCCCTGACCTTTGTGTTATATGCAGTGTGACAACTTAAACTGTTACATTTCTATACATAGTCCTACGTTCAGATGAAACCGAAAACTCGCTGTGAATGTAGTAAGAGTATGCTAAAATCGTTCTGAAATTTAAATGTTTTGGTATCGCAGAAAGGAATCAGCAAAATAATAAAAACGAGTCCATATTATCCTGCTACATTAGTTACTCCTGTTTTTTTAAAGAAGAACTGTGTGAGATCTTTAAATACAAGGTATTCATAGTCTTACAAGTTATTAGATCATAAAATAACATTCCCATAATTAAAAAATTATACTGAATGGTTATCTTCATATAAAATATAAAAAGATTTTAAGTCATATTGCATTAATGAACTCACCGGCTTTTCTCGCACGTTCAATCATTAATTCTATATGTTTCTGTGACCTAAGACTTACACCACTAACACTTCTGGGTACAACACTTCCATCAGGTCTTAAAAATTGTGATAAAATCCGTACATCCTAAAATGATAATAATGATAATTTTAGAAAAGAAACTAAAACTTACTGTATGACGTATTTGCAACCCTAAGCGTGTGATAGGGTCAGTATCTCGAGGATCTCCGAAACCGTCTAAACATACAACTTTTCCTTTACGTTCTGAAGGAACAATTACGCCTTCAACCTATTTGTTTTTGTTTTTAAAAAAATTCAGCGACTTATGTAAAATTTATAGAACTTACTGTTGTGACGTTTTTATTTACTGTATACCTCACTAAATGGATACAAAAGTATACAACATTTGACAAACAATAACCAACCTTCTTTTTTATTCCTAACAAGAGTACAGGAAAAAAATCGAGACAACACAGCTGGATAAAATCCTGATGAACGTAAATGCAAGGCCATCAATAGGGTTGATTTGCTTCCTTAGTAGTGCATGTAAATTGAAATTTTGAGTTAAATGACAGATTGATTCTTCAGGGGTGTACCTTCACCTACAACAAAAAAATGAATCACATTAAGACATACATATTTTGATCTTGAACTGAAGTAATTTGAGAGCTTATTAGGAGTCACCAACTTACATAGCCCCTTGAGACCCACCCAAGGTGTCAAGATGTATCGATAGATACTAAATAACACAAGCAATATTTATTCTACAGAGTCAAATCATGGACTGACCACTTTTCCAAAAATTGAACGCATGAAAGACGCTTCGATGACATTAGCAACACATCAAAGGCACCTCAACAGATGTCACAAGATGATACCAACCGGTCGGTCGGTCGGTTTTCGACATAGAACTTTGCACATATGTGCGGCAGTTCAAGTCGCCACACTCCCTTCATGCAGCACACAAAACAAGAGAAGAAAGTAGGAGAAATGCATAATATAGACAGTAAACAGAGGTATGAGACAAAGGAATAGTAATAACGAAGAACAAAACAGTTTAATTGGAAATCATAAGTCACAAGGAGTGGATGCATCTGCACCAGCCATTGAGAACGATTTTGAGCCATGTCACCAATTTTTTCCAACCATTGGTTTTTACCGTCCCGAGAACCCCAACCACTAAGGAAGTCTACACCTTCCTACGTGGCTTAGACTAACTGTTGTGGATTTCATTGACTGGTGCCATGTTTTGGTTTGACCGCAGCTAGCTCTTTTCCAGCCTGACCCTATATCTGCTAACATTGCCCGTCGAGGAAGGCGATGACTAGGCATGCATGCGTAGCACACGTCCTAACCATCTCAGTCGAAGTAATTTCACAGTCTCGTCGATTGATTTCCCCACCCTACCTAGCACTCGACGCCTAACCTCAATATTGCTCACCTTATTATACTTCACGCGGGAGATAGAACGCAGGCACCTATGATCGAATACAGATAATCTTTTCATGTCTTCTGCTCTCAATGGCCATGTCTCACAGCCATAAAGGAGGACGGAGCGGACTTTTGAGCAGTACACACGCCCTTTGGTCGATAGTCGGATGTCACGTCTACGCCAGAGACGGCGTAAACTGGCATATGCGAACCTAGCCCTCTGTATTCGTAATGAGATTTCGTCGGAGATCAACCCGTTGGGGCTGATGGTACTTCCCAAGTAAGTGAAGCGGTCAACGTGTTCTACCACTTCACTTCCTATTTCTAATCTAGGGGTCGGTGAAGTCCAATCCTGCAGCATCATCTTACATTTTATAGGGGCGAATCGCATGCCAAACATACGAAGATTGTTGCTCAACCAACATAACATGATCTTTCACCGTGGGAGCTACGGATAGCTAGTGATGTCGCTACTGGGTGCGAGCAATTTTTCGGAGACAGTAGTGACCAAACACAGAGTTCCCTGATATCCACAACTAAGAGATCAGGTTTTACAAGTGTGGAACAGAATTTCACGCATACAGTGAAGCCATAGATGACACATATTTTGTCCACCAACCGATGATCATACCACTGTTTACGTGATAGCTTACTCCAAACTTACTAGGATTGTTTAGGCTAAATTACCCGGAACAAATTTCTCATATACCAAGCTAAGAGCCAAACTTATCGTGCGAAGGCCGATAATAGCACCCATTTGCCCAGGCTGAAGTAGGTGGGACAGGACTCAAACACATGGCCCATCGGCTGAAAACCGACCACTAACATCGGCAAACTATATCTCCAATAAACTTACAAAGTTGCATGTTATTGAGTTCTGTGAAAGTTTTAATAAATATGGAAAAGGGATAGTATGCGTAAACCAACGCTTAGAATGTAAGCACTTTCATGATCCTTTAATTTATTATGAACAAATTGTGTTTCCAAGTAAATGAACAATAAGGAAGAATCAGCATTTGCGAACCAGCCCTGTAAAGACTCCAGACAATGTGACAACTGAGCCAGAACAGTAAATGCTAACGTGCCATCAGTTTTCAGTTAAAGATAAACAGGAAGATAAGGGCTATAATCCGGTGAAGATCTTAGTAGAAGGCCAGCAAGAACACTGAAGTAGAGAATAACGAAGACACCCTATTGCAAACAGAAAAGGATGATAATAATTTTTTGGCCTAGGAAAGTACACAAAGCCCTTTGACCATCCTCTTCTCCTGGTCAAGGAAAAGGAGGAATGCGGATCCATATGATTCAATAGGAGTTCAACTTAAAGAACACCACGTTACGTTCAGCAGGCCACAATACAGAACATTGCTTTCTGTGGACAAGAAGTCATCACCCATACACAAGTGTAGACACAAAATGACGCTATTATTTCTAAGGATTCGTCAAGTTATATACTTTCACTATTCTTTTTCCATTGGGACAAATGTCTGTACATCGACTTCTAAACGAAAAGCTTGCTTCTATCAATCGCATATATCATAATAGGTTGAAGTCCATACCCGATCACCCTAAAGAAATTACTAAGCATGCACACCGGAATACTGGAATTAACATTCACTTGTTACGAACGACAATAGTGATAGTGAAATACTTATTCATTTCGACCCGTAAGGTTAAAGACTACAGCTTATCCAATAGAACAACGAGGGATGAAAATGAGCTTGAGTCTATATTTGCTTATGAACACCAACTACAGGTTTCGCTTACATCTTGAAGAAATGGCAATTCCAGGAGATATTTCATTTAAGTTCGTTTTCGCAGTCAGCACTATGGAATACTTTATGATGAATCCAAGTCGTCTTTTAAGATGTTGGTGCATGGTTCTTTAGTGGTGGAAATATGTGTATGACAATCACTGAGCTGCAAAAAGTATATATCTCTGATATGACAATAGAACTTGGGCACTGTGGTGGAGTATAAGTCCATCATAAAGTAAATCTATTTGATAAAGTATCACAGTGTTACATAGTGTTATTTACAATTAATGAAATAAATTTAATCGATGACGGAACTGTATATATCTCTAAATTCTTGACGCATATAAAGTCTATAGTGAAGAGGATTAAACTTATTTTTTAACTAAAACATGAACACGGATAAATAGCTACATGACTTTCAACTGGAAGGAAAATCTTTTCGTTGGTTAACCAATCCCAGCCAGCAATTTTTTTGGGGCAGACCTAGGGCGCATTGCAGATCTTTTGGGGCACTTCGGGCGCATTGCAGACTTTTTGGGGCAGACTTCGGGCGCACTGTAGACTTTTTGGGGCAGACTTAGGGCACATTCCCGATTCCGACTTTAACTTAGGGCGCATTGCAGAATTTTTGGGGCAGACTTCGGGGGCATTGAAGACTTTTTGTAGCAGACTTGGGGTGCATTGCAGACTTTTTGGGGCAGTCTTCGGGGCGAATACTCAAGAACGGCAATGCGCCCAAAGTTTTTTGCCCCGAAGAAATGCTAGCTGGGATGTATTTCAATATTGAAATGAGTAATACTGAACCACTGTAAGCTATACCCAGTAAACTTATTACATTATCAAGTTATACTCGAGTGATAAGTTAATATTGTATCCTTATAACATTGTACATATGTGGTCATATATAATGTTGGCTGCTTACTGACAAAAATCACACCGAGTCTTATTGTAACGCATGCATCAACCAACCCGCTCTTGAGCTAGTACTAGTGAAGGCACAACAGTATTTGAGAACCTTCAAATCGCAAAAATTCGTAAGAACATGCCACTTTCAAGTCACGCAAACCACAAAAAGTAAGCATTCTACCAAGGAAGTGAAAAGTCACAAAGATTTGTTTCAGATTTCATATTTGCTGATTGAGGATAGAAGGCTTGAAGCCTTTTTTATTCCTTTTCTAATAAATTTATGTGCTTGTTCAAACCCTTCTTTTATGAGTAGGCCGAGGCCACTGACATCACTTCTTCTGGGAGTCGGTTCCAGGAGCTAGTGTCTCGGTGTAATAACCAGAAATCTACAGCAATATGGTTTCTCTTTGGTTTTGAACTCTCCTGCTATTTCCCATAAGGTGTTCCGATCTGGTGGGAAGGAAAAGAGAATAGATCGAACCTGTTGTTATTATTTAAAATTTCAAGAACTGTAATAAAATCTCCTCTCTACCTATGGTATCACAGAGCAAGAGACAAACTGTTTTGTCTTTCGTCATGTGATTATAATGATAATAATTTATATTTCGTACAAACGTGTAAGTTTACAAGAAATGCATGCCACTTTTACAGGCACGATCAGTTATATTATAAATTACAATCCTGAAGTGTCATAAATTAATAATTTTTCAAAAGTTTAAATTTTTCGATTATTGTACAAGCAATCAGAAAAGGTTCTTATAAATGATAAATCGTAAACCCTTTACTAAGATCACCATCAAAGTTGAGCAACGACCCAAACTTCGTTCCGTTTCCTGCTGATAGTTATGGTTGACCAGTGAACAGCGTATATTTGGGTGAGTGCCATGCTGCCACGTGAGTGAACGCTATTTCAGGAGGAAAAGAACGTCCTTGGAGGCTGCAAATTGGTATCAAATACAATTATAGATAATACATCATTGAAAGTACATTTACAAGATATATACAAATTGGTTATACCACGAACCATTCGTGTTGCCTTCCGTCAAACCCTTTCTGGAATATGTGAATCCCTTTGAAGACAAGAACGGGCTGTCTGGATATAGTTTTCCAGTCTTGGCCTCACCAGAAATGTATATAAGGAGGTGAAAATATCTATGGTGATTCTAGTAAACGATATGTCCTTAAGGATCTGAAACTACGTGCAGCCACCCCGCCGTAGTTTTCAAGTTGTGACTTATTATGAGACCTAAATCCAAATGAGCCCGAACTGATGGGAGTGTTATTGCCTCTAGTTCGTAGGAGCTGATGCATGCTTGTCCGATGAGCATAGTTGCACATTTCGCTACGTTGATTGGGAGTATCCATTCCTTGGACCAACCTAACAATTTGTTGAGGTCCTCTTGAGACATGAGCGTATCA